ATTTGAGAGGGAGAAAGTGAGCAAGAGAGCACAAGCAGGGGGAGTGGGAGAGGGAGAAGCAAGACACCCCACTGAACAGGGAGCCCATCTTGGGACTCGATCCCAGGACCCTGGGATCATGACCTGACCCGAAGGCAGACATTTAACTGACTGAGCCACCCAGGTGCCCCATGGATTTGCCTGTTCTGAACATTTCATATAATCAGGGTGATACAACTGTTATGACCTTTGTCTCTGGCATCTTTCACTTAGCAGAGAGTATGCACAGTTCATCCATAGTGTAGCCAATGTCAGCAGCTCATTCCTTTTTTAAGGCTGAATAATATTCCACTGTATGATTAAGCCATGTTTCGTTTATCCAGTGGATAAGAGAAATGTCTGAATCTGTTCCTTCCTAAAAACTCCACTGGGAAATCAGATAGGAATTATTACATTTATTAATCTGGAGGGATCCAGATCTTTGTCTGCCTCTCTGTTTGTCTCTTGCTTTTTTTTGGTCCTGTAATAAAGTTCTATAATTTTCTTCAAGTTGAACTATAATTGTTTTCAACTTCACTTCTAGTTATTTTATAATTTTTGCTGCAATTATGAGTGAATTTCCCCATTGTTCCTTCTAATTAGCAGAGAGTAAAACTATCAATTTTTTTTGGTGTGTAAACTATCAATATACTTTGCATCCTGTCGGTTCCCAGATTGTCTTATTAATCCCAATGGGTTGTCTTAGTAGGCTCTCTTGGGTTTTCTTAGTATACAGTCACATCATCTGCAAATAATATAATTTTTTCTCTTTTCCAATAGCAACAGATTATTTTCTTGCCTTATTTCATTAGTTAAATACTACAAAAACACTGTCAACTGATGTCTGTTTTTTTTTTTTTTTTGTTTTTTTGTTTTTTTAAAGAGAGCAAGAGAGGGCATTAGCAGGGTGAAGGGCAGAGGGAGAAGGAGACTCCCACTGAGCAGGGAGCCTCACTTTGGGGCCTAATCCTGGGACTCCAGGATCACGACCTGAGCCAAAGTCAGACACTTAACCGACTGAGCCACCCAGGCGCCCCCCAATAGGGGTATTCTTGATTTGCATTTTGATAGAGCATGGCTTCGGTTCTTTATCAGTGAATGTAATATTTGGTATTGGATATTTTTTCTTCCTTGGTAGTTGTATCATATTTAAGCAATTTCCTTTTGTTCTCATACTAAATGTTTTATTTAGCATATATTTGTTTTTAACCTTGGGGAGGAAGACATTTTGAAGCAAGATAGGAAACCTAGAAACCACAAAGCCAACAAAAGACATACTTGACTTCACAAAAATGAGGAGAAACAGGTTTTGAATGGCAAAATACTATGAGTAAAGACCAAGGTCAAACTAAATGGAAAGTCAAGGAGGAAAGCATTTGCCAGCCATCTACCATCCCTAACATATAAGCAGCACCTACAAATCAATATGAGAAAAATAAACCACTTAATAAAAAATGGGGTATGGGTTCAAACAGGTAATTTTTAGTGTATGTGCTACTGTAGCAAGCACAAAACAGGTATCATTTTTAAGATTTATTTATGTATTGGGGGGGAGAGAGAGGGAGAGAGATATAGAGGAACAGGGGTAGGGGAAGAGAAGAGAGAGCATCTGATGCCAGGAGTAGCTTTTTTTTTTTTTTTTTAAGATTTTATTTAGTTATTTAAGAGACCGAGCAAGAGCGAGAGAGAGGGGACACGTGAGCAGGGTTGGGGGTGCAGAGGGAGAGGAAGAAGCAGACTCCCCGCTTGATCCCACAACCCTGAGACCACAACCTAAGGAGATGCTTAGCTGATGGAGCCCCCCAGGTGCCCCCTAGGATCAGCTTTCATGCTGGGAAGCAGGGACTGGGGGGCAGGAGGGGGATGATGGTCCTGGGGTTTCCAGAGGCAGGGGCTCTGCTTCATGAGGGGAGCTGCTTCATGAGAGTGGGGGTGGTTTTCATAGTCCTCAAGTCTCTCTTGGGGTTGTCCAACAGAACTGTGACCCAGGGGAGTCTGCAGGCCCTAGGGAAAATCCTTCCACAGTTTTTCAAATATCCTGGTGGGGTATGGGTAGTTCATTCATTCATTCATCCACTCTTTTACCTAAGAAGCCTCTATCCCATGCGTCTCCCATGCTAGGTAGTAAGGAACTGGCCTATTCAGGATAGACATGGCCCTGCCAGTATGCAGCTTCCAGTGTGGTGGGGTGGGGCCCCACCCCAGTGCTGGTCCCTCTATTTCTGCCTGGCCCTGAGCTCAGTTTGGGTTGAATGGGGTGCTCTAAGGGCTAGGCTTACCACACGGGCTCTCACTTGGCCCACGAACTATAGTTTTGACCCCAACCAACTGCTAGGCACCTGGGTATGGCTGATGGTAGGCCTGGGGAGGGGAAGCCACGCCTGGAGCTGGAAAAATTTTAATTGGTTCTCCGGTTGTCAGTGGTTTGGAAAGGCCCCGTGAGGTCTCTATGCCAGACTCCCAAGGCTGCCAGCCAGGGGCTGTCTGCCGCCAGGAGTCTGATAGCCTGGAGAACAGCTTGAGAAGGAATTGGGACTGATGCAGTAGCCCCTGGCAGCTCGGGAGGCTTCCAGACAGGCAAGACAGAGCTTTAGTGTGGGGCTGCCACAGGCCTGAACTCCAGACCTGTACACCACCAGGAAGCCACAGAAGGGCTAGTGTGGGGCTGATCTCCCCTCGTCCCAGGCCCAGGCCCATCACAAGGGTGGTTCCAGGTGGCCTGGGCTTCCAGTCTCCCATGGGGGTCCAATAGCCACCCGAATGCCTCTATGAGTACACAGTAGGAGTTGCAATGGCCAGGGGAACCAAACTCAATCAGAAAGCACAGATCCCACTTCTGCAGAGGCTCATCAAAGAGGACAACCACAGCATCAGGCTTGTGACCCCCTCCTTGCAAACCCCTGGTGCTTTGGTTCCCGTGGCAGAGAACCTCTGAGCTTTCGTCCTCCCTCTCCAGCAATGCCTCCTCCATGTCGTCCACCAGCTCCTAGTCTTCCTTCCTCTCGACTGTGGGCTTTCTCAGGCCTGAGTTCTCAGGCCTGCCCACACCGCGTACCTCAGTTCTCAGGCCTAACCACACCACGTACTCCATGCACCCCCCAGTGTACCCCATCTCTGCATGTATGCAGATACCCTCTGGGCCTCTCCAACCAGCCTGGAGCCAGCAACTGTCACTTTTCTGCTGCCCATGGGCAAGACACATAAGTCATCTGCCTGGACCCCCCTTCCTGCTCGTCACTAAAATGAGGATCATCACAGAACTGCAACATGCCTGGCCCGGGGGCTGCACAAAGGATGTGCTGCCTCCTGCTCCAGAACCCTGGAAGCTTCTGACCCAGTCTGCAGACGGAGCCCAAGTTCACCTGGAGGACCTCCACGTGGTCTGGCCTGGCCACAGAGCAAACTCAGTTAATAAACCATGCCACCTGCGTGTGTGTGGGCCGCTGGCCTTCTCACCCGCATCATCAAAAGGCATCTGTGTCTGCATGACTGTGGGGAGGGAGACCCTGTCCTTCCCAGGGGTGTGCGTGAGCACATGAGTGTGTGTGAACGTGTGCCCCGCGTGGATGCTGAGCACACAGGGCAGTGAGGGCCCCTGGGGCCCACTCAGAACAATATTCTGTCTCCCCAGCTGTAACTCCTCCATCACCCCAAGGGACACAGGTGGGCCCCGAACAGGGCAGGGGCAGGAGGAAGCCTCAGCTGGAGGGTGGAAAAGGGACCGAGTGGAGGAGGGAGCCACTTCTCCAGAAAGCCCCATTACGGTCTCCTCCCTGAGGCCAGTGCCATGCAGCCTGTGCCCCTGCCCGCCTGCCCAGGGGACCCTTACCCTTGCCCACGGTTCCTACAAGGGTTTTGCTGTGGCAGTGATGGCGAACTTGTGGGAAGGAGAAGTGCAAACAGAGGCCAGCAGAATTTGCGAGGAAGGCCTTCTGGACAAAGAGGCGGGGGACGCCTAGGAGAGGGTTTCAGGAGAACAGAGACCCCGCTGTTAATGCCGGTCATGGCTGGACAGGCTGACCTACAGCTGACGTTTACTTTCCACAGGATATCACTTGGCAGCCTTCAACATTTTTTAATAAACACACCTTAATTTTGCAACAAGGGAAAAAAAGCCCAAAAGATAGATGCCAGGTCTTAAACCAAACACAAAGATCTTTAAGAGCCCCAAAAAATAGCTGCCATGTCTACACGGACCCTAAACTTGGACCCTTTAGGCCAGAAGGAGCAAGGGCCCAGAGGATAAGACCCGGCCTTTTGGTCCCATCTCAGCCATACAGCAGCTCAGTAAGTGCAACCTCTTCTGTGGGCCTCAGGCTACAGGTCTCTAAAACAGAGCTTAAATACCCACCCTGATCACCTCTGGAGCCTGATGTGAGACCGGGAATTTTAAAAATGAAGATCACGAACATTAAAGCATCCTGCAAACCGGGGAGGGCCGCCTACCATACCAGGTACTGTGACCACCAGTGGGGCTGAGCTCCCTTCCGATGGCAGCCACCTGGCCGGCTGCCACAGCAGTGCAGCTTCCATGTGACCCAGAGGGCCCTGGGCACAGTCATCTTGCTCATTAGGACCAGGGAAGCCAGGAGTCCTCCCTTCCTGAGATGCAGCAGAAGCGCCAAGAAGAGATGGTACAGGCCAGCTTTGGAAAGCTGCGTTTTCATACTTTGCGAGAAACCTCAGCAGGTATCACGCTCCTGCGAAGATCCACAGTGCTCACAGCATCCCTAGCCCCAAAGGAGCCTTTGCTTGTGAAATGGCCCCCCAATGGACCCCCTGCTCCAAGCGATCCCTGTGCTAAGGTCCAGCTGCCCACGTGGGCGTGGGTGGCAAGCTGAGGGCCCAGGGAGGGACGATGTGCCAGGATGAGCCCTGTGCAGGTGTGGCAGACACCGGCCTGGTGCCTTGGCACTGCCCAGCTGGCTGACAGCGGGATTGTGACAGCTGCTATCTTGGGACAGGTGGCAAAGGGGACTTACCTCTCCCTCGGGCCCACGTGTAGACACGACTAGTCTCAGTGCTTCTGGGCTTTTGCTCGGTGGGCTCCATGGGCAGAGGTCGGAAGTGGGGGTCATCAGCCCGGCCGGGGGTCTTCAGCGGCAGGATGTACTTGGGGAGCCCTTTGTAGAACCAGGCCCCCGACCTCTTCCAGACCTGGCAGGGGTGACATCTGCTTAGAGCAAGGGACGCAGGGCAGCCCTCCCTGTACTGCGCTCACACACTGGCCCGCCCTCCTCTCCTATTGGAAAGGGCTCTGTGCTGTGGGCGCCCAGAAGGTGCTCCACATTCATTCCTCCCCTCTGCCCCTTCCCTAGAGGCTCTGGGGCAGAGCGAGAGGCAGGAAGCTCGGAGAAGAGCCGGGCTGGGGGACGGTGCAATACTGGAAGCTGTTCTGGAGAACTCCCTGGGGATGAGGCATGTTCTGTGCCAGTGCAGGGAGGGCCCCAACCTCAGAGAGTCCCAGGTTAGAATTCCTAGCAGCACTGAGATACGGTCATCCAACTCTCCATGCCTACTTCAAGAAATGCCAAGTACTCCCTGATCTCTTTTCCACCGAAGGATATACGTTCAGGGTATTCAGTAAGAGGAGGGGGAGAGTGTGAAGGAACGTGACCTTCTCAGAGAAGACTTTGGCGATTCAGAGCAGACGGCTGGGGTCCAAACCTTGGATCTGTCACTGGGCTGCTGTGAGATAGGGACACATGGACCTTCCAGATTCCCAGTTTCATCACCAGGAGGTGGAATGTAGGAAGAGTTCCTGTCTCACAGGGCAGCCACGAGGACCAGACTCTGGAATGAATGTAAGACGCCACCAGACAGATGTGATGCTTATGGCCGTCACTGCCACCCTCTTCCTCTCATCTGACAGACAAGGAAATCCTAAAACCAGTGGACCAAGTTCCCGAGTAATTTCTTTATTGGAGAGGGGGCGGAGGGGTAGAGGGAGAGGAGAGAGAGAGACTCTTTTTTTTTTTTTTTAAAGATTTTATTTATTTATTTGACAGAGAGAGATCACAAGTAAGCAGAGGGGCAGGCAGAGAGAGAGGGGGAAGCAGGCTCCCTGCTGAGCAGAGAGCCAATGTGGGGCTTGATCCCAGGACCCTGAGATCATGACTTGAGCCGAAGGCAGAGGCTTAACCCACTGAGCCACCCAGGCGCCCCAGGTGAGAGACTCTTAAGCAAGCTCCACGGCGGGCTCCGTCTCACAACCCTGAGATCACGACCTGAGCCAAAATCAAAAGTTGGACGCTTAACTAACTGAGCCACCCAGGCGCCCCTCAGAAGAGAGAATTTTAAAATCAGAAGGCCAGAGGCTGCCCTGATTTTCTCTAGGACAGAGTTTCCTAATCCCCAAGCCTCCGCTGTACCTTAGTTCTATGGGTTGTTAACACAGACTGGACCAAAAAAAAAAAAAAAGTTCCTAATCATGTACACTTGGGAAGCACTAGGTTAAACAACAAAGCATTACGGCAGGATTTCTCAGAGCCTTTAAGATACCAAAGTACGTATGGTTCTCCAACAGAGCCAAAGAACATACAGTGCTTCCCACTTAGAATCTACTCAACAGGTTTTCCTAGAGAGGCTCAACCCAGGTAATTGGTCTACAAAGACTCGGCACCTAACTGTGCAGCACTGAAATCACTCAGCTATCACGAGTCATCTTCTTATGCTCCAGAGTGCTAGGCCTGGGGCCACTGAGTCCCAACCCTGTCCCTGGCTCGAATCACTCACCCCTCCCTCCCAGGTACCCTTGCAGAAGGGCCTGCTTTCGTGTGGCTCTTGAATAACATAGAATCCATCTGGAAGGATGAATGCCTGTGGAGCCCCCTTTAAAAAACCCTTTCTGATCCTCTCACGGCCCTCCTACAGTAAGTATTTATTTGAATTGAGAGCATGTACACATAGTCTAAAATTGACGTGGTGCAAAATTAAAAAGTCTCCTCCCCATTGCCAGAGGCATCTGGTGATAAGTTCTTTGAAGAAGCTCTGTTACTATCCCCACTTTCCAGATGGGAAAATTGAGGCTCCAACAACTTAAGCAACTTGCCCAAGGCCAGCCCTCATTCTACTGGCCTCTGTTCCACAGTGGAGGCCCCAGAGTCTTATCCCAACGTTTACAGATGCAAAGTAGATGCTCACTAAGTGTGGCTAAGTGGTGAGTAAAGCCTCAGCAGGGCAGACCTCATGGGGACTGAGTGTCCTGCAGACTGGGCACCTTGAGGGGAGGGAGCTGCCATACAGGCAGAGGGAAGGGGCTCAAGCAGTGGCTGCCAAGGCCACCTTGTCTCGGTGGAGCTGCTACGTGGTTCCTGAGAACACAGGCCCAAGCCCAAGAGGCCACAGGTGGCCAGCGAGGGGCTCACTCTGCCTCTGCTTTGCCTGCCCTCCCCTGAGCACACCGGCCTCCTGTCCCCCAACATGGGCTGGGCCTCGGGGGGACCGAATGGATCAAGCCCTCAAGAGCCAACTGTATGCCCAGGGCACGTACACAATTTGTTCTGAAGGATCACGTAGACGCACCCTGTGTTTGCCTCCCACCTAACTCTGCATCAGAGCAACAGTTCTGTGTCTCCACCACCCCTTTTTCATGGCTTCAGAGTTTGGATTTATGAAACCTAATTAAACCAGCCTTCCACTGATAGACATTTACCTGGTTTCCAAAGTTTCACTCTTGTGAACAGTGCTGCAGCGATCATCTTTGCAAACACAGCAGTCAGGTGTCCATTATGGCCTTACACCCATAATGGGTATAACCAAAACACCCTGGGGGCGGATCTGCTGGGTCAAGGCATGTGTCTAAGTTTAGATGGGAACATCCATTGCCAGACCACCCTCCAGGAAGAAGAGCTGAGTCTCCAGGGGTGTGCTAAATGCCTTCAGGCTGGGAAGCCTGCACTACATTTATTTCCTGGTGAGATCTAGGGTCTGGTCTGGGGACCCACTCAGAGCAGTTCCCACGGGCTGCCAGATGTGGGGGACATGCATGTCAGGACCTGAGGCCACCAGAGTTAGGTGCCACAGGAAGGAGGATGGGGGCCCCATGGTCCCCTCTGGGGCACATTGTGTGGGCCTCTTTGAAGGGGACTGGAGGGGACAACACCAAGGGTGACCCAGTGACAAGGTTTATGTGTTAGTGCTGTGTGGCTTTCAGTGGGACAGACCAAGAGATGATACGGAGCTGCGTTTGGAGACTCCACAGGGCCAGACGCATGCCTGATCCTCACTGAGGCCTCATCGTGGGCTTCTCGGCTCTTCCTCCAGAGCTGGGACTATGGTTCTGGCCCAGGCATGTGCACAGTCCTCACTTTCCTTTTTTGTTTTAAATTAAAATTAATTTTAGTTTAAAAAATATCCATAGGTGGCTCAGTTGGTTGAGTGTCTACCTTGGGCTCAGGTTATGATCTCTGGGTCCTGGGATCGAGCCCTCTGTCTTGTTGTCCAGCTCCCTGATCAGCAGGGAGTCTGGTTCTCCCCCTGCACCCCACCCCACCTGCCTCCCTGCTCATGCATACTATCAACTAAATAAAATATTAAAATATTAAAAAATAAATCCATAACATGAAATTTACCATCTTAGCCATTTCTAAGTGTATGGTTCGGTAGTGTTAAGCACATTCATGTTGTATAACCCATCTCCACAGCACTTTTATCTTGTAAAATGGAAATTCTGCACTCACAGAACAGCTCCCTAGTCCCCTGTCCCCGCCAGCTCCTGACAGCCACCATTCTACTTTCTGAGAATCTGACTCAGAAAGAATTTGATGACTCTAGGTACTTCATATGAATGGAATTGTGGGGTATTGATCTTTTTGTGACTGGCCTTTCACTGAGCATAATATCCTCAAGGTGTCACAACCTGTGTCAGAATTTTCTTCCTTTTTGAGGTTCAACACTAGTATTCCATGGTAGGTCTACACCACATTTTATCTAGCCATTCATCCATGGATGGACACTTGAGTCGTGTCTGCCTTTTGGCTTGTTCTTTCATTTTATGTTTTTTTTTTTAAGATTTTATTTGTTTATTTGACAGAGAGAGATCACAAGTAGACAGAGAGGCAGGCAGAGAGAGAGAGAGGGAAGCAGGCTCCCTGCTGAGCAGAGAGCCCGATGCGGGACTCGATCCCAGGACCCTGAGATCATGACCTGAGCCGAAGGCAGTGGCTTAACCCACTGAGCCACCCAGGTGCCCCTGTTTTTAAAATTTTATTTATTTGACAGAGAGAGAGAGAGCACAAGCAGGAGGAGCAGCAGGCAGAGGGAGAAGAAGCAGACTCCCTGCTGAGCAGGGAGCCTGACACAGGACTCAATCCCAGGACCCTGGGGATCATGACTTGAGCCAAAGGCAGACACTTAACCAACCGAGCCACCCAGGTGCCCCTGGTCCTTTCACTTTTAGAGACCACTAGGCTCTACCATCCAGGAAGGGGCCCAGGGACAGGGCACTCACCCACTGTATCTTCGAACTCCTAGCACATGTCTGACACACAGTAGGTGCTCAGCAAGCAGGCTGCGTGGCTGAACTGGTAGCTATAGGTAGTTTGCCAGAAAGTGTCCCAATCCATACAGCTGTCACCTTCCTAGAGATGTGACCTGAGGGTTTCACCTAAGTCCTTGTAATTAATGAAGTGGATTAACTGTTTCAGATTAAAGAGGGATAAAGAAGAAGTGTTTAGGAGTGCTTGGGTGGCTCTGTCAGTTAAACGTCTGCCTTGGGCTTAGGGCACGATCCCTCAGTTGTGGGTTGAGCTCTGCATTGGGCTCCTTGCTTAGTGGGGAGTCTGCTTCTCCCTCTTCCACTCCCCCTGCTTGTGGTCTGTTGAATAAATAAATAAAATCTTAGAAGAAGAAGAAGAAGAAGAAGAAGAAGAAGAAGAAGACGACGACGTGCTCAGCAGGGCGTACCAGTGTCCAGCATTCTCCTGCAAACCTCACTGACTATGTACTCCCAGCCCTTCCTACAGCGCCAGTGCCACCCGTAGCCCGGGCTGTCCCTGGGTCCCCTGGCTCCTCACAGCCAACAGGCCTCAGGCCCTCAGCCTCAAGAAAATAGGATAAAGATGGCAACCCTCTTGGGTCCCCTCACTCTCTGGGAGCTTTGTACCATCACTTTGCTATTGCTCAACAAACCTACAGTGCCTCGGTGGCTCAGTGGG